GGGGGGGGGGGGGGGGGGGGGGGGGGGGGAGAGGGGAGAAGGGGAAGGGAAACAATAAAACAGTATGGAGGTACATTCCCGAAAAAAGCATTTAACCATCATTCAGCGTATACCAAAAATCTGAGAAAGTTAAGATAAGCACAGTGGGGGCCCTGGGTTAGTAATGGGGATCCAACACGCCGAGCACACCTAAGCCAGACTCTTTGATCATCGGATGCATACTTCCATTAGCACCCACCGTTCTGCTTGGAATTAGTATCTCCGGATTCAAATTTTCGTATTTTATCTTTTAAATTTAGCACATTCGAATTGATTCTGATGGAAAATTAACTAAATACTGTGTGAATCTAGATAACTTTTGCACTCTTCAAAATTTCACGGTTTTCTTCCTTCATGCAGACAATTTTACACGCCCCCTTCTAAAGCAAAACAGTGTAAACAGCTTCTCTGCAACTCACAAGTATGCCACTGAACAGTATTTGAAAACATACTACTTTGAAATATGCAGCCCACGACCGAAGGACTTGGCATGACTGGAGCCGGTGTCTATTAAAACATTTCAGTAACACTAATAACGTAAGATCCCCAAAAACATTTGTCTGGGCGGTTTAGATGTTCTCAGCAATAAATCTTAATTCCAAAATTATCATTAAAAACAATGATTATACCGTAATGTTCCAACTAACAAGCATGATTAGCTGACAAACATAACCTGTCATATCTAGTAAAATCATGAAAATTTTAAATACCTTTTATTTTCGAACTTTCCTCTAGCACAAGCATAGCACATTACTGAAACGTATGAGGTATTATTATGCCCTGTCTACACGAACAAAGAAGATTACTATTAGTTCTGACTACTATGTTAAATTATAAAAAATATCCGGCAGGTTGAAGTCTGTGCGCTTGCTGGTACCAATTCAACAACTTGTTAGAGCCAAAGCGATGATAATAAGTGAACGGATGAAAAAGCGCTTGAAATTCCTTGAAAATCCATTGGCGACATTATACCTTCATTTAACCGGCAGTTTAAAATTAAAACCTGTAGCACACATAATTTTTCAGTTATGACGATATTCATCAGGATCGCCAAGAGAACGCTGACCACCGGCCAATGCAGCACTGGAAAAAGTAACGGGGAGAAATTTCACCATTTCGACCGTAAATTCACGTGAGCTAATATTTTTCCTTTTTTAAACTTACTCATTTAAAAGATGAGATACCCGAACTGAATTACTGCTCAGCAAAGCGTATGTGCACCGGTGAAGGTTCAATCTGAAAAAATAATATAATTTTAACTAAATTCAGCTGTCATTCTGTGCTGCTCATCCTGACATTCATTCTGTCACCTGAAGGGATTACCAGCTTAACGATTCTCTCAAAAGAGGCACTGGCAGGAATTAAGTCATTTCGAGATGTCAATGTTATGAGTTCCAACCCCAAACACTGACATACCTGGACCAGAATGAGGCCGATTAGGAGATGTTAAATCACATGATACTGTTAAACTGAAGATTTTGCACGATTCCACCCTATACAAGGATTGTCTGTACTAAATGTGAGTTACAATTTTACAATTAAAAAATTCGATCCACTTATAAGCAAGGCTTGTGCCTAGGCAGAAGCTCATCTCACGTTTGCTGGCCCACACATGAATAGCAAACATCCTCCGAAAAATGCTGTTTTCTGCTCGGTTTAGATAACAAGTTAATAGGGTGTTAACAGTGTTCCGAACTAAATTTCAGCTGCGCTAACACGAGGCTCAGGAATACATCAAACCTGGATTTGAAATCTTCAGTTCACACCGAGACATAGGACATTCCTGTGAAACTTCAACTTCCTAGCCTGTCTGTTTCTCGAAATCGTTCCCCTGCCAAAAAGCTTCTTTTAGACTTCTGTACGCGAGACCCACGTACATGTGAATGATACTATCAAAAAAAGAAGGTCGCATATATGGTAAGGACATACTCCAGCGATTTCAGTTTTGTAGCTTCTTCGCTTCTCGGTTGAAAATGAGTGACAAAAAACTCGAGCACACACACACACACACACACACAGAGACAATCAATCTTTTATCAATATGTTCTTTTGCATTTGCATAAATATGCAAAAACGCATAAAAATCGAATGGACAAAAGGCATATTGCTCGCCATATTGAGCACTAATGAGTGATATTCGCGAAAAAATAAATGAACGTTCGGGTGGGCACCGGAGTGGTGCGGACGTGGTGACGAGTACTAACCAGAGGTATGCAGTTCGAGATCAGAGAGCTTGGCAAAGCTGCGTCTGGCGTGTGAGTGCAGTGGTAACATGGAACACCCAAACTGATGCCCCGAACGGTCTTGATACTAAAAAACCCTTATTTTCATAAAAAAAAGAAATCATATGAGTTTAAGTAAGGTTTACATTACGAATCTGAGCATCTCTCAAACGCATCAGAGTTGAGTGAAGATGTGAACGAACATGACGTGCATCGAATTCACGACGGCCAAACGGATTTGCGCACGTTGAAGCAGTGCAATTACACGGAAACGATTCCGCGTCAACCTTAAAAATCCATTTTTAATTTCTATTTCTCATACATTGAAATGATTAAAACCATTAGCCTGGTTGTAAAGATCGGGCAGTCATCGACAGCCTTGCCAGCTACCGGTTGCTATTGGCAAATACTATCACTCGGGCCACTTTCGAACGCCTCCGTCTCTCCCAGAGAGTGAAGACGATCTTACGTGAGTACCATGCATAGTTTGGGGCTGAATTTGAAATATTTGAGTTGTACTTGGATAGGGGACATTCCGCCAAAATTTCAGCTTTCTAGCTTTCCTGGTACCCGAGTTAGCAATTTGGTATTGTGTCTCGTCAGATGTACGCAGAACAATGGTATGGTTTTACTACCGATGCGGTACCAAAGAAGCATTTAATTCGA